ATGGAGACATTACTTAATAGACGCAGAAGAGGAATTTGAGATATGGACAGATCATCAAAATCTGCTGCATTTCAAAGAACCAAAGAAGTTGAACAGGAGACAGGCGCGGTGGATGACGGAGTTGAGCCAGTATCATTTCACGATACATCATATGCCAGGAAGGAAGCATATAAAGGCAGATCTTCTCTCGAGGCGATCGGATCATAACAAAGGAGAAAATGACAACGAAGACGTCGTGCTACTGGATGAGAAACTATTTGTAAGAATGACTCTCTCTCCAGAACAAAGACAAAAGATCGCAGACAGTCAAGAGGAAGAATTGGAGATTTCAAAGTGGATTACAAAGAGAAAAGGAAATGTAGATGAGCTGATAAAAAAGATGAAAGGAAAGATAGAGAGGAGAGAGGATGGTTGGCTAGACGAAGATGGTTGCATAGTATTCAAAGGCAGGATCTATGTACCGAAAGATGCTGCGTTAAGGGAAGAGATTATCCGACGACACCACGACTCTGTTATTGCAGGTCATCCAGGAAGATATAAGACAAAGGAGTTAATCACTCGACAATACTGGTGGCCTTACATGGACAGAGATATCACAAGATACGTAGATGGATGCGAAGTCTGCCAAAGGACTAAGACAGACCATAAAAAGAAAGCAGCACCGCTTCATCCAAACGAGATCCCGGATAAACCTTGGCAGATCATATCAGTAGATCTGATCGGACCGCTACCAGAATCAAATGGATATAACATGATAATGGTAGTAGTAGATCGATTTACCAAAATGATCAAGGTAATTCCCACACAGATGGAGATCACATCAGAAGGAGTGGCACGACTATTTAGAGATCATGTATTCAGAAACCACGGCATACCCGAAAAGATCATCTCAGATCGGGGACCGCAATTCGTTTCAAAATTCATGAAAGATCTACATACGCTTCTTCAGATAAAAGCGAACCCATCAACGGCTTGGCATCCAAAAACGGATGGACAGACGGAGAGGATCAATCAAGAGATAGAACAGTATCTCAGAATCTTCGTAAACCATAAACAAGATGATTGGGCGGAATGGCTTACCCTAGCAGAATTCTCTTACAATAACAAACAACATTCTGCGACGGGATATAGCCCGTTCTACCTGAATCATGGACATCATCCGAGAACACAGGAAGTAGTGAAAGTGGGGGTAAAGAACGAAAATGCAGAAGATTTCGTAAAGAGAATGACAGAAACCAGGAAGAGAGCAGAAGAATCGCTGCAAAAGGCAGCTGAACAGATGAAGAAGCAGTACGATAAGAAGAAAAGAGAAGCAGTGGAATATAGAGTAGGAGATAAGGTGTACGTAGAAGCGACCAATATCTCAACAGATCGACCAGCCAAGAAACTGGACGATAAGAGACACGGTCCGTTTGAAATACTGGAAAAGATAGGCGAATCGGCCTATAAACTAGCGCTACCACTGACATGGCGGCCTATTCATCCAGTTTTCAACGAGATAAAGCTTACACCGTACAAAGAACCACAGTTCCCTTCCCAACAGAAACCTAAACCGATACCGCCGGTAATAGTAGATGGACAAGAAGAATACGAAGTCGAAGAAGTTCTAGACTCACGCCTAAAACGAGGGAAATTGGAATACTTAGTACACTGGAAGAACTATCCAAAAGAGGAACGCACGTGGGAACCCGAACAACACCTAAACAACTCACCCGACAAAGTAAAAACATTCCACGATAACAACCCTAGTGCACCCCGACGGATCCAATTTCAATTACATTTCCAACCCTTCGAAAACTTCACAACGACTAGAGTCCGAAAACAATTGTTTAATTGGGAAAACGGAAAGATGGACCCCTACTTTCGGGACGAAAGTCCTAAGGAGGGGGTAATGTCACGACTTGAACCAGAAGCGCTAGTCTGAGCGCTAGTTTCCTTTTTTCATTTTCTTTGATATCTGATCACATGACAGATAAGATATGTTAAGCTGCTGCTTTAGCGCGGATAACATAATACGTAGTTATATCAGATCACGTGACCATCACGTGACGTAAGCCTAGAACCATTACAAAGAACATCAGTCAGCGCCTCATGGCTGCTGCATGTTAGCTCAGTCAGCGCCTCATGGCTGACTTTCAGAAACATATATATAGTAGACCATCATGTACATACTTTCCTCAGTTGTTGATTAATTCTCAATCGATACCTTGTAACGCTACTTGTTTGATTTGAACCTTCGTCCCTCCGTTAGTTCGGTAAAGGGGATAAGGGTTTTACACCAATCAACTTTGGTGCATGACACCGAGATGACTTAGTATCAAAGGGAGAGGCAGTAATCAGATATGTTCCTACAGGAGATATGGTTGCCGACATTCTCACTAAACCCCTCACTCACAAAAAATACTGGAAATTCTCTAAAGCTATGGGACTACGGTTGCACTCGAGTGGGAGTGACAAAAACGGATAAACCCAGTCTCTGCCAAAGCAGCCATTGTTCTCCATGGAGCATAGCCACCACTCCATGGAGTCACCATTGTTCTCCTAGGAGTCATTATACTGTAGCAAGTAACACCTCTGACTACAAGTAGTAGGGGGTTTAGTATAGAAGTACCTCAGTCATTTCTATAGCCTCTCAGGCAGCGGCTGAGTTTCACTTAGTTTTATTACTGTTTATGTAACAACCAAGAGTTAGTTACTCTGGCGCACACAGGAACACACTGTAAAGGTAGTGGATGGGGAGTGGTTACCCCTTAGGCTGCAGAGAGTTTGTTGGTTAACAATAGGAGGACTCGCTGAGGAGTCTCCTTGATCTATTGGGGTATTTATACTAATACAGAGTGTTTGTACCTATGTTCTGTACAGTTGATAAAAGCAGTGGCTGATGATGTCAGAGGGCGCAGCCCGTGTGACCAGCTCCACTGCGTGAGAGAGTTTGTGTCTAAAAGAAGAATAAAGGCAGCGCTGTGCGAGAAGGTGGAGTTAGAACGAAAAAGGAAAGTGCCACATGGCACGGAGTGTGAACTATAGTAAAAAGGTTAAAGTGGAGAATGAAAATCAAAGGAAAGGTCCAAAAATTGTGTTATCGTAACAATTTACTAAGGTATGGTCTTATATGACCATAGTAGTATGTTATAGTATGGTTTCTGTTACAATAACACAAATTTTCGGACTTTCCCTTTACTTTTACTAACTCACTGCATCTTAAGGGGTAACCACTCCCTCTTCATTTTCTCTATAATGTGTTCCTGTGTGCGCCAGAGTTTTTCTTGGTTGTTACAGTTTCAATATACTGTTGACTGAAGTACAGTCCCATACACCCATATTACTTTACTGTAGTATAGTTTTGATACACTGTTTACCCAGATACAGTCTTATGCAACTATAGTAGTGTATTACAGTATGGTTTTACCACACCATTTATCAAAGTATAGTTGTATATATCCATATCACTATGGTATGGTTTTAATACCCTGTTTCCATGGTATAGTCTTGGAAAACCAAATTGTTACATTACAGTATAGTTCTAGTAAACTATTTATCTAAGTACAGTTTTGTGCAACTATATTATTACTTTTGGATATAGTTTATACAGCCCATATCAGGTAGCATTCATATGGTGTGTATAAGCCAAAGTATGTAATTTGGTTTGTCTGAACCATATGAATTAATTCCAGCGGGCTGTGAACAATATCTGGCTTTAGTCATTTACAGTGTAGGAACGTGAGCGTTTGAACAGCATGCCATGTGTAGGCTATCCGCGATGGTGGCAAGGCACAATGCGTACACAATGCATATTGTGAGTGGTAGCGCTGGTATTTTACTAGAGAACATGTCAGGTTGCGCTTACAAACTGTGTTTGTAGGGCATGATATCATGAATGAATGCCACTAGGACATCAATCGTAACAACGTTGACAACATGCAGAAGCACTGGTTGATTCTTTTTGGCGCCCTTGTTCTTTTGTGTCTTGGGCGGCTAACGTTAACGTCCATGCATCAGGACCTACATATATATACTTGACCAAATTATTTCTAATCACTCACTCAGATTTTCTTTTTCCCTTGCTTTATCCTGACATCTATTCCCCAAGTATGCTAATAGAAGAACGGCGGCGTGAACTCATGGCCAAGGGTGCGCGATGGGGAAACAGTTGGTCGGCACAGGTAAATGATGCCTCGGCCATATCCGGTGGGCAAGTAACACCCAAAGCCTCACTGGTAGTATCTTCAACTTTACCGCCATCCACTACCAATGCTAGCACCATTCTGAAGTCTGTTTCGCCGAACGAAGAATTATCTGATCTCCAGCTCGCAGATATGGATTCGTTAATAGACCCAACAGCATCAAGCTCCAACTTGAGCACCTACAATATACCCCGAAACCCGGAGACCACCAACAGGTCAATCAGTAGCACTTTTGTGAGCTCCAAAAACTGGGAATTCGGCGCTTTACTTCGACTTGGCCGAAGATTTCGCAGTGTTCCGCGCTATCATTACACATGTTCCAATCTTTCGAATATCATCAAAGATCATGAGAAAACCGGTGTGCCGATGATCATTGAAGGATGGCACGAAAGCGAAAAATGGCCGACCGCCAGTTTCAACGTGGACTGGCTGCGCGAGCATGGGCACCAGAGTGCGTGTATTGTATACACGCTACTTATCTCGCTCACCTTACGTCAAACAGTTGCTGCAGCCCGTAACGTCCGTGACTGGACTGACAGAGATATCATGCTTCCTGATCTGATAGACAATATGCGAGCAAGTTCGAAGTTTGCTTTACCAGGAGGTGTGTGGCTTTTGAATCGGTTGGGCAACCATGCACGTGGTCGCTTGAGGACCGGTTCTTATCATTCGGCAAGTACATCTTGCACTGACGACTGCTCACATCTACCAGAAAAAGAGCGATTGTATGGCAAGGATGGTGAATGCCCTCAAGAGTGGGCCGAGTGGTTAAGCTCGGCTGGCCTCATTCCGTCATCTCTTCTGTTCAATGGGTCCGATGATGTCTTGAAATATATGCCGGAAAGTGTGAGTGGTGGATGTGTTGTCTTTTCAAAAAAGACCTATGTCGACTTGTATTTGCAGGCGAAGGTTCAAACGCTGATGTATTATTTGGGCATTGGGGACACTTTCACCCCTTTCCACAAGGATTTGTGTGGTTCTTCGGGACAGAATCTCATGTGCTACACAGAAGAGAGCGGCTCTTCATTTTGGTTCATGACCGAGGGCTCATCGGCTCCTGCAGTTGCAGACTATCTTCATAAGCTAGATCATGAGCTAGATCTCGAAAGTCATGTTCTAACTGTCGAGGAACTGGAGAAGGCTCCCTTTGACGTGTATATTGCAGAGCAAAACCTCGGCGACCTGATACTTGTTCCTTCAAGGAGTTGTCATCAAGTTGTAAATCATGGTGGAGTAACTGTCAAGACGTCCTGGTCTAGAATGACCGTCGACAATCTTTCGACTGCTCTTTATCACGAATTACCTATTTACCGACGGTGAATAGCCATTTACTTTCTCTCACTGCTCTCGCTGATGGTGCCTGCAGAGTTTGCCGACCAGAAATCTACCGAGTTAAGACCAACATATATTACGCATTACTTCAATACACCAAAGAATTGGAGCATTGTTCAAAAATCGAAGAATATCCTAGTGAGACATTATTAGTGGCTCTACAGGAGATAAATCCTAACCAAGTCTCAAAGCAAAATTAGACATCGCGACGAAGCTTTGGCAGCTACACGATCTTTTTGACGACATTATCACTGATGAATATGCCGAAGATCATCCCAGTATACGACGTATACCGCAGTCTGATGTCCAAATGGATAGTCATTTTGCCTGTGATTTTTGTGGCGCAGATATTTTTCAAAGTTTCTTCGAGTGTTCAAGGTGCACAGATGATAACGATAAACCAACAGCTATCGGTGATGGTATTATTGTTTGCCCCTACTGCTATGTCGAAGGGCGAACTTGCCGATGCGGAGCGATGGAGGCTGTGCAGACTAAACCTTCTGAAGATTTAAAACGACTACATAAACGGGCTAAGATTGCACTTGAAGACTCTGGAATAGAAAACGGTAGGGAGCATACTTATTTATCCAGCGCACGAAGGTATGTTCTAACCCCCTTCCATGTAATCAAATCTCAAGTGAGCCTATCAGCGGGATAAAATCCCAAGGTCACCTGGGAGTCTTCCAAGCAGCATGTAATCTCCAACGAAGGCGACTCAAGAAAAAGGTACGTGTCGTTCTATTCTGATGTCCCCATAAGCTGAGCCCCATTCTCAGGTCAATCATAACTGTTGTCTCAGACGAGATGGTTCGCTGTGTAGAGTTCCAGGAAGCGTTTTACCTTGCAAGCTTTGCCACATGGGCAGGTGTTTCTCTCACATCCTTGAAAATGGGCTTTTGCATTCTTCTGAAGCTATAACGTTATATCATAGTGACAAGACAGGTCGTCTTTGGCATCAGCAACACTCGGAAGCCAGGTCCAAGCGGGAAGAAGCTTGGTCTACGGTTAAGCAAGCCGAAGAGAAAGGATCCCGTCCAGACGTGGACCACATGTTGGCATACCTCGCTACAAAGTTTGTCACCTGCAAACCCATAAAGCCAGCACATACCCGACACGGGTGGTACGATAAAAACGTGCTTGTAGCGAGAATGCCAGTGAGTGCATACTATATACACTGCTCTGTAAAGGCACTGTTAACATGTGAAGGCTTATGCTTTAGATGCCACCAGGCCTCAGAATGTGAAGACGTCCACAGAAATCTACAGCGCCGATGGTTCTGTCAACTCCCGTAACAATTCGTTGAATAACGCAAATGTCGAATTCGAGCCATTGACGAATGATGATCACATGCACGTGCTTTCCCCGGTCGCTGTCGCTGTCGATCCTTCGTCTACAAGACCGTATGTTAGGGCTTCCACCCCAGTGACTATCTCCTCGTCTAGTTCCAAGAAGCGTACTCGAGCGGTATTGGATTGTGTGTATATTTCGGCGGACCGGGCTGCTGTTGGCAAACGTAGTTCGATTGATCCACCAAGATGTATCACGTCTTCAAGTATACCTGCGGCACTCGCTCGGGTAGAGGACGAAGAGATGGTTTGTGACTAGTAGTAACTTTGATTTTGTACAATGAATGAATTTTTTCTCTTCCAGTCTGATGACGATGACGATATACCTCTCAAAGAATTGGTCTGCCCATCGTCCGAAACTGCTTCACCCTCGAGTGGGCTAGCACTGACTCTTCAGCGTGCTATTTCCTCCTCTGAAGGCTTCGAAGTCACCGAACCCCCAGTGTACGGCGTCGCGCCGGTAGCTGCACCCTCTGAAGGTCCGCTGACGAAGAAAGCTCGAATCAACATTAAGACAGGTGATTTGTCTCGTCCTGAAATAGGACGCGTTCGTCCTCTCCGTTCCAAAGGGAAAGTCCCCCTCAAACGCAGTGCAATAGCCCGGCGTTCTACAGGCAAGACCCAACCGTCGCATGTTTCCGCCAACGACTTGATATCAGGGTCTCCAATGCAGGAGAGACGGATATCATCCCTACCAAATATATCACTACCTCCACCTTTACAGGAAGGCGCCGATGGACTGGTACAGGCCTTTAGTCAAAGCATTGCGAACGATACATATGCTCAACGCAAGTGGCTTTCGCGCACATCCCTTCGGGTATCTTCAGCACGTGTTCAAGACGATTTGGATGGACAACACCAGAGCCTTTCACCCATACAGTCTCAAGCATCCTCAACAACTCTATCGGGGAAAGATATAGTGCAGGGCCCATGCGGGAATGAGCTGCTGCCAACGGAAAATAAAGCTTCTCAAGACGGACTAGGAGTGAAAGTCAGAAGAATGCATGACACATCTTTGCAGCAGGATGTCATCGAAAAAAGGCAGAGAAGGTTGCAGAACTCCCATGATGACGACCAGGTATTCCAGAGCGATGTACAGGAGCAGCAGGAACCCGTTGAAAACCTGCGGACAAATCTGCCATGCCATACCGATAAATTATGGGAGCTCGAGAACATGGTCCAGGAGCAGGATGATGCAATTGAACAAATACATGAGCAAGTGCGGAGACAGGCGCAATGCTCCTATGACCAAGTTCTGGAGTTCAAGTCCAAGATTGATTGGCAACAGCGCAGCATATTAAAATCACGCGACGACATGCAAGGCGTCTATTCTCATGTTCAAACACTTGACGACAAGATTCGTGGGCAGCGAATTGACATAGGAAAAGTGCGGAAAGAGCTGCAAGGTTGTATCGACCGTGTTAATGACCGAGTTCGGACCCTCGAGATCAAGGTCGGGTTGCAGAAGGATACCATTGGAAAAATAGAGAAAGAGTTGGGAGACTCCAATGACCGTGTTCTGAAGCTTGAGAACAAGGTCCAGGAATTGAACGAGACAGTATTGAAGCTCGAGCAATCACGCAAGGAGGCACCAGTGGTGACCGATTTATTGGGCTCGTCATCTGCAGAGCTGCTGCAAATATTGCAGGGCCCTAGTTTGGCGAGAATGCAAAGCCAGATAGGTGCTCTACAAGAGGAGGTAGCATATTTACGGTCAGCCCCAGCGGGGCTTGGGCAAGTAACGCTTCCTGTGATGTTCGGTCATGGCCCCCATCATTCTTGGAATGACAGGTGTCAGAGAGACCAAGAATTATTTCCTCGTGGTGGGTTTAGTTATGGATATCAACGACACGACGGTTACAAAGGTAAACCCATAAACTCTCCCTGTGAGATCAGCTGAGCTTATTCTGCCGTAGGACGAAACTTCAACCCCTCACGCAGATACCAACATGGGCTTCTCCCTTATCGGGATAAACCCTATCACAGACTTCAAGGTTATCAGCATCCGCGAGGTCAACCACATTTCACTCAATATCGAGGTGGCCGTCCGCCGCCGACCAAGCCCAGAACAAAGCCAACGCCAGACTCGGGGAACCGGTCACCATCGTGCTCAACCTCTCATGCATCAGCCACAAGGAATCGGGCATCTTCATGCTCAGCCAGTAGTGAGCCAACGTCAGACACAAGGGGCCGGTTTACGTCATGCTCGCCTACGGGTGTGCGTACTACCAATACTCAGTACGACAGCTTAGCAAATACTGCTACTACCCATCACATAGGAAAGGGTAAGAGTTCTGCGCATTCTGTGATTTATATTTGTACCGACCATTTATCAGGCCCTTTACCTACATGTCCAGAAAAGAATCCGCAAGATTGGGAGGACGACTATGAACAGGATCGGGATGTAGCACGCTCATTTTCGTTACCGCGTCCTGGCAGATGTGACGTCCAGCAAGTGGTCACGCTGGCTGACACCTATGCATCTGTGCCGGGCAATGACAGCAGCAGAATCTATGGTGGGTCTTCCGCCGTTGGTCAAATAAAAAACAGGGATGATTTGGATCACAACCCTTGGCAATAATTAAAACCTTATCTGTGGCTTTCCATCACTGTGTTGTTTTTGCTTTATATTTGCTCTGAACGCCTGTACCAACGAATACACCTGACGGATTTTTTTCTTGGATCAATATCATGTTATCTTTACCATATACCCCTTGATATACCCTACCATCATATATATGTTGCTGTTTTCTTTGCATTTATATCACTCTGATGTAACTATACCGTTTTCAATAGTACGGGGTTTAGTAAAACCAGTGTATGTGATAAATGTTATATGAACACATTCATTACGCAAGCCGCCATGCGAAACCAATGAGAGTGGTGATTAGGGGAAACTAGCGAGAAGGGTATAGTGAAAAAATGAAAGTTGGTGACTGAAAAAGTAAAGATTGCAGTGGATAGAAAAGATGCCATGATAGAAGCATGAGTGAAGCAAAGAGAACAAACGCAAGCAATGATTGTCAATGAATCTCAGCCACATCGACATGTGAGGATTCTCCAAATGCTTGGCTTAGGCTGAGGAGTCTCGTCTTGACCTTGATAGTCATCACCGTGTGACACTCCAGCGTCATTTCCTAGTGCTCGGATATTGCTGACCGCCGGTGGAACTGCGCCCACATTGGGTACCATTGGCGATGTACGACCATACTGTTGACCACCAAACGATTCATCGACCACGTCTCGTGAATAATCTAAGCCCCCCGGAACTGCATTTGCATATGGATGTTGCTGAGCACTTATATGGCTAATACGATTGTGTGGGGTTGGCGCAGGAACGTTCAGCTGAGCAGCGGCAGAAAGTGGAGTTGCTTGACCTGGGGAGTTTCCACCACCAGGGGTTAGCGCATTGGGGATTTTGCGCTGTTTAGAGCCGTGGCGAACAAGAGCGGGTGAAGGCGGTATTATCCCGGCACCCGTTTGCGAAGCCCTTCGCCAATCAGCATCCCGTTGTCGTTCGACATCTCTGCGACGCTCTTGAGGAGTGGGAGCTAGACCTGCGTTTTGAATCTGAGCAATCATCTGACTCTGTCCCTAAATGAAGTTCAATAAAACGATATAACATGCTGCGAGAATCCGCTCACCACTGACACCTCCCAGCCTTTACCTCCTAATATATGTCAGCCGAACATCGGACCGATAGTGGATGTAAAGACAAACCGTTCAACAGGTTCCAATCAAAGATGCCATCATCAACATCATTGTTATTTTTGATTACCTTTGCAAACAACTCTCGCAAGAAATCATAGTCGGGCGTTTCTTCGAAGCCCAATTTACGAACGTAATTCAAGTAGATGCCAAACTCCTCTGCCATTGTTGTATGAGCATCAGATCGGCGATACTCAAAAAGACACTGACCGGGATATCCCTCGGATAGTTCCCTGATCGGGGTTGTTTGCTTCTTTTCTCCGATTTTTTCGTACTTCTGCTTGTTCGTAGCGGCTTTGAGACCCTGCCACGGTAGACTGCCCCTCAGGAAATACATGAAAACATGACCGAGTGCCTCCAGATCATCCCTACGCGACTGTTCTGAAAGTTAACGTGTCAGCAGAAGGCTCGGTCTTCAATATTATCGACGTCAACTTACCACGCCCCAAATGAGTATTGATACTCATGTATCGCGCCGTCCCACTCAAACTCTTCCTTTCTCTGTAAGGAATATGCTGCTTTGTCTTTGGATCGCGATATTGCTTTGCCATTCCAAAGTCAACGACATGTACAACTTCAAGATCCTTAACGTTAGTGCCGGACACGATTTATAGACTGTAAATAGTACCGTTCGCGCCCTTAGTACCAGGTCGTCCAATAAGAAAATTATCCGGCTTGATATCACGGTATATAAGGTTCTTTTCGTGAATCGTTTGAACTCGTGAAAGCTGCGACAAAAGTGAAACCGAGAACAAAGACTCGAAGCTCTTCGACGTACCATTTGTCTTGCTGCCATGCATACGGTCTTGGTAGAAAACTTACGGCCACACATATCGAATAGGTCTTCTAAGCTAGGGCCTAGAAGATCGATGACAAGGATATTGTGAAGTCCTTCTTGCCCAAAGTGATATATCTGAGGTATGCCAGCTGAAAGAAGAGGAAATGAGACGGGATCCGAGTATGAGAGAGTATCAACTTGCGACAGCCGGCTAAGATACGGTAAGAGCGACATTCATCTCGAAGCTGAGGGGCCTCAGCCTTTCGCGGCTCCTGCAGTATTCAGAATACATGTTACAGGCTAAGACGTGACTGATAGCTATAAAGCTCAGGATGCAGACGCACAAACTTGATAGCCACAGTCGTTGAATTAAGCAGATTCGTCCCTAGAGTGATATCAAGTCGTTGGCGAGGATAAATGGCCGTATCTTAAAATACAAACACACCTTCGAAAATGACACCGAACGAGCCCTCGCCGATTTTCTTGCCTACACGGAAGTTGTTACCGACGAGGTTTCCATTTCCCGAGTGATGAGAGGACATGATGGGAGAGAGAAAGGGAGGAGAAGAGGAAAAGGGAGCGGAGGTGGATTAGGAGGAGAATAGTAGGGCCTTTGGGCCTAATAGGACTACTATTTGGAAGGACGAGTGCAGGACCACTGGGGGATTCCGGCCAAAACCGAGACCGCCTAAAACGGCCTGTATCGTGGCTGCGGGAATACCGCTTATTTATACTCTGGCAGGGGGTCACGATACTGAAAACGTGCTCCGTCTCAGCATCTTCTATTATCCACGAGATACTGGTGCATTCATACGGTCATCAAAACATGCTCTCAATTACAGCATGATCTGCAGTTCTCCATAGAACCTATCTCCTCAGCAGCCCTACTAATTTCATCTGCACTGGTACTCGCTGCACAAGCACCCAGCCCACAGCCAACAGCAGAGCCATCGTCCCCATTCTCTTCTGTCTACTCCATCTTCCCTCAACCCCCCCATTCTCCCCCTCTACTTTGAAATGTTCCCAGCGTGGTTTCCGAGCTATCCACCAGAACAGAACCATGGTTCCAGGGAAAGTCGCGATGTTCTTGGGCCCATCTCGGCCATCTCCTCGATAATAAGAAAAACACTCTGTGAAGACAGTGTTCTGCATGCGCTTCTGAATCCAGTTATTGTACTCGTCTGTGGCTTCTGCTTTGACCTCCAGAGTCTTCATTTTGCCTTTGATAATCGGCTTGATCAATTGCAAGATGTACTTTATCTGTAGAGGGGCTGTCGTCTCAAACTTGTTCAAACAATAGATAGAGAATAACTAACCTGAACCTCATCAGCAAATAGGAGCGAAGCATGGCCCGAAGCCGTGTTAGGCCCTGGGAGGGAGACTTAGTAACACATAAGGCTATGAAAGAACGCTATACAAACCAACGACTGTAAAGTAATTCGGGAGCCCAGGGTAGACTGTGCCTAGATATGCTGTCGGGCCGCCATGGGAGTCAAAATAATCGTGGAGTGTATGCCCGTTTGGCCCTTGAACTGAAATGTCTGTGGGCACCTATCGAATAGCTTGTATTAGCCAGTGCACAGAAACAGATGCGCAGCACAGGCTGACTATTAGGAAGCCGGTTCCGAATATAATGACATCCAAGGGTATCGCTTGCCCATTCTTCAGAATGACTCCATCTTCAGCGATTTCTTGGATGCTCTCCCAGTTCAAGTCTACATTGGGTCGATGAAGGGCAGAGAGGTAGCTAGGGTCCACGATGATCCTCTTACATCCGGGCGCTTCGAGGCGATGTTAATGGGGTCCATGCACAGGCACAAACACGACTCACAGTAGCTTGGTATCAACCTATCGTGGTATTTGGCAGGGGCTGTATCTTTCATATATTTTGTCATTAACTAGGTGCATATCCAAGTTGAGCAACTCGAATCTCGAGATAGAATCTATCGATGACAAACCTTTCGAACCAAGTACAAAAGGAACGAGTTCTGTTTCTGGAATATGAACCAAACTAGATCAGACTAGGCAGATAGTTTCAGTTCTTTGTATGCCCAGTAGTATATAGCGAAACGCAGGAACATACCTTTGCCATGATGGTGTTTCTATATGCCCGCATCAAAAAGGGGATATGCGCAAAAACCCATTTGATAATTGCGGGGTAACGATATTGTTGCTTTTGCATAGATAAGTATCGGTCGATGTACATGTAACATTATGAAATAAACTTACCCTCGGTGTCATCCACTGCGCCGTTCGACAGAAATTGATTACCTCAACAGACGGATCTTCCGAGATTTGAGGTATAAACTGTGCTCTAATATAAAATGTTAATCATATGTGAACGCCTCCTCAGAAAATTATAATATTACGCAGAGCAGCCGTTTCCAATCACGCCCACTCGTTTTCCTGCCAAGTCGACATCATGTCTCCACTTCAAAGAGTGCCAGAGTGGCCCTCTGAATTTCTCGACGCCAGGCAAATCCGGTGGGAAAAGGGGGGCGGTAAAGCCACCCACGGCCTGGATGACAATCTCAGCGCTTGTGGTCGTTTCTTCGCCAGTTGTTGGGTCCACTAAAGTAAGGTTATGCACTCGTGATTCTGCATCCCACTTCACCACTTTGACATGTGTATTAAAGACGGTATGCGCAAGGAGGCCATGCTTTTGGAAGATGCGTTCCCAATATGCACGTATTTCTGGTTGAGATATGTAATAGCTGTCCCAGTGGGGATTGAGTTCCGTAGAAAGGGAGTACCAATGTCCGGGAACGTCTGAACCGCAGCCCTTAATACTTGCGTTAGATGATGCTTTGCGGAGAGACAGAGGTCAACGTACTGGATATGTATTGTCCTGATAACACGTTTGGGTATTTTAACACGGAGATAGCAAAATAAAAACGTTCTTACCCTCCATGTACCGCCGATAGATGAAGCCTTTTCGTAAATCTGAGTATGGCAATCTTTAGCTATCGTCCCGATTTGGACCGGTGATTAAAAGAGAAAGCAGCTCACCGTGAAGTTGTCAAACTTGAGCTCATTTCGCAAGGCAACAGCCACGGAAATCCCTGCGATGCTAATTTTTTTTAAAAATATAGTTAGCTCCGTGATTATAATTATGGTCTTACCCTGCACCAACCACAACGATTCGGGGGTTTTCGAGTCCTTTATCCATGTTTTAGAACCTGGATGTTGAGATGCAGGACTATAGTCTTGTCAAAGAAAACATACTGCGGCTTTCTCTCACATCTTAATGCGAACTCTCATAGTGAATTGCACCCGTAGTAACTCGAGTTGCATATGATTAGAACTGAGCCGGAGACCGTACAGAACACGCAGATTCAATGGCTCCAGATCCGGAGGAAGCCGCTGATGGCGAATTTTGTGCCACGATGGAGTCACCAAGATTCACCGTCACGAGAACATACAGACTGAAAACATGGAAGGGGATGCATGTTGAGAAAAGACGTTGCAAAATACAATCAGTGACACTAATAGAAGGTAGAACACATAGAACAGTCGAAAGGAAAATAAGATGTACTACGGTAACACGACTGAGTTGTGATGCATACAGTACTATAGTGATGACAAAATAGAAAACATAGTCCAAAGAATTACAAATGCCCTGAATTATACTGCCCCACCAACAAGTCTCTTAACGAAACTCGAAGCTGGAGCTCCTTGATTCCGGCACGTGGCATAAAGACAGCTGCTGATATCTATGAAACAGGATTCCATTAGTGGAAGGCGTGATATGGTTGATTGTAAGATGCATACGGTTCTGAATTTTGATGGAAATAGAAACCGCTCATTGTAGCGACCGGAGGCGATGCGCGTGGGCCAACAGAAGAACCACGAGTACCTCTCCTTGCACTTGAGTCTCTCCGTGGAGGCGAAATCGGAACTGCCTCAGATTTTCCTTGGGAAATCGAAGTGCTCAAGTCCATAAGCTCGTTCTCCAACGGCGCTGGGCGTAAAGCAGAAGAAGATGGCTGAGGGTTGAAATCTACACAGACATAATAGAAACCTGAAATAATGAGATGATGTTAGGTTGTGTTATATGCTGTGACCACTTAAAATAGACGAAAAGGGATGTTTCTGTAAAGAAATCACACATACCTGCGAAACTAGCGCCATTGATGTCCTGCACACGATGGTCGGGTACTAAAAATCTCTCCTTCCACCTCATGAACACCGCACCTCGGTCCCTGTCAGCCATGGTCAAGTGGGGTTTTTTCAAATCACTTTTGACATGACGGAAAGCTGGGAAACGCTGCCAATGAACCATATCTTCTTGCTCGTTGGCGCCCCAATTCTGGGTCAAAAATCCATAACGGTTGCCTATTATTTCGGCATCGAAGTATGTCGTTAACTCTGGCCAATCATCCGTTAGGCCCCTTATACGAAGGTATCCGCAAAGGAAAGAGGAGGAAAAGTTGACGTCCTAAAGTCTTTCGTTAGCCATTAGCCGATTAGCTAACATGAATTTTACAGACCACGATAGTGACATTCACGTCATAGCTATTCCTTCCGCTCTTTTGTGTGCCCTGAAATGAAGCTCCGGGGTAGAGGCAATGATGACCTTTGGAACGCACCCGAATATGGGTAATATCAACGAGGGGATCCGGAGATGACATGGAGTGATGCTGAGGCAAGGGAACATTGAACTGATGGTATGGCCTGGATGTAATGGTAGATGTGGCGCTGTCAGTATGAGCCGCCAACGGGGGGCTCTTGGTGATGACAGGGACTGAATTTTGCACGACGATGGGTGAACGAGTATAGAGAGAAGAAGCGGAGGAGAGTGGAGATATTAAAGCAGGAGGCGGTGAGAGTTCCATGTCGTTGTCATCGTCGAAGGTGTGCTCATGGTTAGAAGGAGTGTTGTGACTGCCAGGGAGAAAACCAGATGTGCGGTTGTTGATGTCGTCAACGATGCGACGGGTTGCGTTATCGACATCGACAAACAAGCTGATATTTTCTGCGGGGGTTACACACATGGACCTGTCTCGACAAGGGGCGCATAACGAGTTTGAGTCTTGGTCGTCGACGAGGAATAAATTGGAGTTTGTTGTGTCAGCAGAGAGCAGACAGGAGCAAAAAGAACAGAATTTGTTTGTCTGTCCCTGGATATGATCTGCCTGCGGTTGTTCGATGATGACTGGGTATGCTTCACGTTCAGGCATTGTTAATGTTATTTGCTGGCTGTGGTACACGAGGTTTGCTGAAGGTGGCTGTCGCTGGCTTGTTTGGTGTCCTGCACGGAAATGTATGTGGGAGTAATAAGAACCACCTCCACGTGGGAATGCTGCCACAAATCCGTTTTCTAAGAGTCAAAGCCACAGCGAAAAGCAAGCCAAGTCTGTCGACATCCTTGCTCACTCTGACTCTCTCTTCACTTTTCTACCACCACAACATCATATTGGCGCTCATCAGTCGTAATGCACACAGGAAGTACAAGCGCCGGTGTTATAGACGCCTTCAAATTTTCATATCGTTCATTTCACCCTGATGGCATCGAGTCCAGATCGACCCAGTGCTGTAGAGACGCTCGCTCTATATATATGGGAAAAAAAGAGGGTTTTTACCAGTTCCCCTTCGACGCCGTCATCTGGCGATAGTTCTCAGTCAGGTAATCTCAGCTGCCCCAGGACAAGAGACGCTCTTGCGACCCAGGGGCTATGGAGGTAACGACTCATATCAATCGGCTCCGACGCTCAGGCATTCTACATATTCCATGTCCCTTGGTCCGTTCCTGGCAGTAGCGCCAGGTTCGAAACTTCGTACACACCCGGACACCCCGCCTCCGTGTCACTGTGTCCCGAGCTTCGGAGGGTAACTAGTACTGTTGCCTTGCAGAGCTCTGCTGTCAAGATGTAACTTGATTCTGCTTTGTCTGATGCTTTTTCGGCCTTGTCGGTAATTTGTACCTTGATACTCTCGTTAGCTTCTTTGACGCTTGCCACGCCATCTATTCGACCCCTTTTGTATTACCCCGCAGTTCAAACTCCTCTCCCCTTACTAGTTATATCTGAATGCGAGCTCCGCATGTCGCCCAGCTAAATATGGTGACTAGTTTGGGCTATGATCATCGGTCGATTGCTGTTGCATTCAATAGGGGTCCGGGTCTTTGTCAAGGTATGAACTTTACCTAGGCTTGCTGCTACTAGTATGAACGCGTCTTAGTCCTATCCCCTAGCGCCTTAGCCGTCTATTTTTGCACGACACATGTGCACTTTGAACCATGCCGATACAACAGACAGCATCGATGATCACTAGGAGCCTAGCTATGGTAGTCGCATGTTAATGTTTTCATCTAGGATGCTAAGATCACCCTGCCAATGCCGTTGTGGCAGCCTAGATCAGGATCCTTCTTTTGTCAGGGAACGCCGGGACACCGCAACTTCGAATCCAATCACGTACATTGATAATACTAATAGCCTACGGGATCAGCAAAGCTCACAGCACTACATCATCCTGTACCCATCTACCTCTCGTAGCTGCTATCCTTCGCAAAACTTTTCCTCGGTGGATATGAAGACACTCGAAAAGATAGTCACGTGACTTATTCACCTCTACGGGTGTAGGGTGCTCAGAAGAACTCGATCTAGAAGAACTCGATCTAGAACAAGTCCCTTTTCATCGATTCACCACATGAGTCGGTGATTCGGATATATCATTTATGAAGATATTTGGCTATCCTCAGTTTCTTTCAAAGCGATCACCATCAGTCTCTTCACAATGCCCAAAGTCTCTGGCGCTAACAACCTGGATTTCATTGCTAAACCCGGCGATGGGCGTTTCGCTTTCATAACATCTGTCCATCGATCGTCGTATTTCTTGCAGAGGGACATGAAGATCAACGCCCGCCAGTATGCTACGCACACTGTAAGCTTGGTGTAGGTACCCTACTGCATCATTCTAAAAGAGCATGTAGGAAATTCTCCGTAAACTTGTTCAGCGCTATCTGGACCTAGATAAACCATATGTAGAGCAGTGTGAGGAGGACTGGAAACGGTTGACTAGAGAGGTTGGTGTTGCTTTCCTCCTGATGCCCTCAGATATATCCTGATACTTGCGCAAAGGCCTGTCGCCAGCTGCCTTCCCTCACGAAATATCAGGATTTCTGGCCAGTTAAAGCCTATGTAAAGCGATACCTGGGTAATAGGCAGCCATCGCTGCGTAAATACCCTAAAGAGGAGTCTACCTCGCCCACCAGAAACCGGCTCAGAAGGTCGGCAAAGGCTTCTAATTTGAATCGCTTCCAAACGGAGCCCCGTGACACCCCTGGTATACCGCAAGACATTGGAGATAGATATCGACTTTTGGTGAGTCTTGTCGGTTCAAATGGAAAATGACGAAGGTGACATTGACAAACGGATTCACAGCCAAGCTCCCAGCCCATGAGACGTGCAGCTCGTCCTCGTGTTAGAAGCGAGTCGCTGGAATATTACGACCTTGACGCTCGTCCGGACAGTATTGCTACACCTGAAAGACACGATAACGACGAGAGTAGCGAAAATACTAGCTCTTGGTATAGGGAAACGTCTGTCGAAGCAGGCCAGCCCGAGGACCGTAGTAACCATGATAGTCTGAATGGCGATGTAAGGTCCTTAATCTTTGGCTCCAGCATTCGATCTCTTATAATTTTCTTAGGAACACGATCATATATCCCAATGTCGAACCATCGTGTCCACAGTGTCAAGCGATGTAAGCAGGATCGAGCATGTAAAGGAGCTGCTTCCTAATCCCTTTCGCACACAGCAAGGTTCTCCACTACAGGCCTCTTTGGGTTGCGCAAGGTCCGCCTTTACAGGCGCTTCTGCCGGCAGAGCGAGGGATCGTTCAAACCCTGATATGGATAATCATGTACAGCCATCGCCTTCCAGTACATTTTCACCTCGTCCTGCTCCGATGTCTGAGGCAGGTTCAGGTAGGGGCGCACAAAACATGGATGCATCTCCAACCGCGCGAGACTCCTCAGCGTTCGTCAGGCAATTCCTGCAGTCCCTTGAACCAAATCTCGGACACCTGTTACCCAACTTTTTGAAAATCGGTATAGATAACGAGGCAAATTTGAAGGCACTTCTGCAGTGGCACCCTGAAGATCGAGAAAAATGGTTTAATGACCGACATTTGGAACTTGATATGACCAAATTCCAAATGTTCGGTTTACTCATTGGCTGCAACCGTTACACCGCATCATTGTTTTAAGCGTCGTTCGACTAGCCTCATCCAGTTATAGTCTTTTTTGTTGTGGATTCCAACTTATGCAGAATTCGCTCTAACCTTTCTTTTCTTTTTCATTTCACATCACCATCTCATGTACAACACTTGCCCCACCAAAATCTTCGGACATCTTTCAACAAACATAATACTGATCAAACTGGAATACCTAGCCCATACGTATGTACTCTACTCTACCACTAACAAATTGAACACGATCTCCTTATCATACAACTTCTTTTGATACGACTAAATTTTACCACTGAATGGGAAGCATTTCTCATGTCAAACAACAAGATTTCAAAACACAAGTCCCAAATGCATAATCTTAGCAAGCGTTTGCCAGTGGGAAGATTATGTGTAGCTTAGAGCACGAAGGGCCTGGCTGATAGAAGAGAAAAAAAACTGCGTACGGAAAAGAAAAATTGTAGTAAAGAACTTGATTGGATGGTAACGTTTATAGTGGAAGGTGTTAAAATCACATGGTACGGAAGTGTAGGTGATAAATGGAAAACATTGGATTACAGATCGTCGTCCTCTTCGGGAAGAGGAACGTTGTTCGCCTAAACAAAGAGAACGGTCAGCGTGACTGATGATTGCCCCGATTGTAAGTACCACTGACTTGTTGCAATTCAAGATTGTACTGAGCCATCAACGCTGAATCCACGGGAACCTCAGCGGGAGCGAGGGCAGGTGCGGCAACAAACTCGAGGTTGCTGTTACTATAATCCGATAACTGTATTAGTTGCATCCCCAGTAAATATTTCAGAATACTACACATACCCAACGAGCTTCTTCGCGAGCCAGAGGAATGGCTTCTCGAAGTTATAGTTGGACTTGGCAGAAATTTCAAAGTACTGCAAGTTCTTTTTACGGTGGAAAGTCACAGCGCCAGTCTTTACTTTGCGCTCCTGTAGTGATTTGAAAAATCATCACAATCAAGCTACTGATTGAGTGAGGCCAAAACTTACTTTGATGTCAACCTTGTTTCCACAGAGAACAATTGGGATGTTCTCGCAAACACGCTCAAGGTCACGGTGCCAATTGGGAACGTTCTTGTATGTGATTCTCGAAGTCACATCGAACATGATAATACCACATTGGCCTTGGATATAGTATCCATCACGAAGACCACCGAATTTTTCTTGTCCAGCGGTATCCCAAACGTTGAAGCAGATGGTACCGAAGTTTGTTGAGAAGGATAGAGGGTGAACTTCGACACCGAGAGTGGCTGATAGACAAACACGATGGCAGATTATGAGAGCCGCGATTACGAGATGAAAACAAAGCAATCGCGAATGGATACATACCAATGTACTTTTTCTCGAATTCACCGGTCAGATGACGCTACGTTGGTATCGAGATCAGCCAGTGATATCGCGATGCTTTGTTCTCGTAACCTGGCCTACTTACCTTGACGAAAGTGGTCTTTCCGGTTCCTCCATCACCAACTACATGTATGATTGACCAGAGCAATGAATCGATGCAGGAATGATAGATTTGAGAGGAGAGAGCGGGAAAAATAAAGGCATCATCGGAACATCGATGAAAGAGTGTTGTGGCAAAATATGTGAGCGCCCTAAGATAAATTAAAGTAGATCGCTGAATACCCACCAAGGACAAGCTTGAAAGTAGGGATGTTACTCTGTGCTTCAGACATTGAAAACTATAAGAACGAGGTTGAAGTGAAAGATGGTAGGAAGGATAAAGGCAAGAATTGAAGAACAGATGAGATAAAGTTTGCAAGGGTTTGCCGCCGCTGACCAAGGGGCTTTCCCGAACGAGTATTTGCATGTGCTCCCTGTTTTTGCTAGTGACGCACAACCAGAGTCATAGCGCCTTTATACACAAAAGGTAGATTCAACTCATAGGACTTGAAAAACTACTCATGCAATATCAGGCTTGAGATAAATAACAATCTGGACTGAAGTTCTTGATCTTTGGCGCAATCATACACATCATAATTCTCACACTATGTGCTTCAAGTTGCTGCCATGTCGAGTTGAGGCAAAACGGACAGAATAAATTACACCACAGACGCAGACGATAAGTAAATATTATTCGTTTTCCTGGTCTAGTCCGCATCGATGCACGTGTAACTTTACATCGTCGAGCTTCTCGTGAAAGATAGCTGTACCCCTAATCAATTGACTCATTGTGTCAAATGATATTCGACAGTTTATTGCAAATCTAGAATTTTGACACATCTATGGCATTCACTCATTGTAAGAAACGTCATCTTGTTTTTAAATGTTCTGTTAACGTCGAAACCATTATAGGCCAACTACGACATAGATTGTCAAGGGTTGAGGTGTGATCACGACAGGCGTGGGGACGGGACAATGTCATACCCAGGACTACAGAAAGTCTGATCTGATCTTGCTGGAGGTATTTCCAGGGAGGGTATCAAGAGATCAGAAGGTTCAGCATTAATTTTTTTTTACGTCTTCGTCTTGTTTTCCAGGAATAACTTGAAGACACTGCATCTCAACTGTGGTGTATACTTTGGGAACGAAGAAGGACCGGATTGGCCGAACAGGGAATCGTCGATGAGATGCTCCAAGTAACCATAATGACCACGAACTTAACAGAAATCCAGCTCCCGGCTTAGTGGGACGAATGGATGTACAGCTTCTGCCACATTTCTACATCACCACCATCACTGTTTTGTACCCGCTTGCTGTAGTTGGGGTTAGGGCAAGATTGTCGGCCTTTTCTGTCCTCGCAACGTGCGTGTCTTTATTTTCGTTCTTATCTTCCAATTGATGAGTCTCTCCGAACAAAATTATCCAAGTATTGCCTTTTGTTTTAGTATGCCATGCGACAGCATTGTGTCCACTTTCCAGTTGATTTTGGTTCTCGTCTTCACAGAGTCTTTGCGGGTAGTGATTTTACGTGCCAGCATGCTTGTTTTGTGGAACGCCACTCCATGTCAATGAGCTGTTATCAAAAGATAGGACACCGAGGCTTATGAAAAGCTCGCAGATAACCATATGAACATATAGCCTCGTCGTGAGATCTAATCAAGGATGGAAGCACGAGCTGATGAGTGTGGTGGTCTTGCAGGAGTGTTAACCGCAGCAATGAATGTCCCAGCTGTAGCGCTCAACGAGGCTAATGCGTCAGCATACTGCAATTGCTTACGATATAATCGGACGTGTTTGACAAAATGACTGCTTGCATCGTTAGCTAAGTATGCCAATAACAACACATCGTGAGATAGGAGTGCTCTCAGGCGCGATGTTGTACGACATGCTTTGTCAGTATTCAGTATTTAAAGGCTGTGAGATAAGAACATCCGAGCAGGCACGACGGTACGACGTCGGACGATGAGTACTCGATGAGTCTTCGCATGAAAAAGCTGACAAACATGAATGACAAAGAGTTATTTCTCAGCCCGCATGAGTATATTTTTGGGCCTGTTGAGGCTGATTGGTAACGGCTTAGCGGGTGGTCCTGATTGGCTGAGACTCTCTATCGAGTAACGTTTTCCTTTTTTAACATTCATTTCCCGCGACTGTTATGGTATCGCTGATTCCGTTCTATAGAAAACGATCCAGTCTGATGCTGAAGATCCTCCTTACTCGTGACTGTACACATGTTGTTGTTATATCAAAAGCACTCTTGTACCCTTTCATTGTTGATATGAAACTTTGTTGGCGTGCTGCAAAGGCATGGTATAAGCTTCTCTGGCTGCGACCAGGATAACGGACCGTTGCGTCCGACAGATAGAGTAACTGGAGATACGTAATGTGACCGTTCGGATCGCAATTAGGAAACTCGGCATCACGGCAAGCTATGTCTCGGCAGCGCAATCTATGCCGACCTCCACACAGTGTCGTCGAGTGCAAAAATGATATATGACAGGAGTGACTCCGACAGGTTTGCTCTCAAAGAACTGGAACCAGATCCTGTCTCTATCTTGTACCTTTTCTCTTCATTTTCTGCATCCCTTGAGTATCTGGTGCGCGACTCAGCAGGATCAGAGACTTCGTTATGGCTGCCGTTTCCCCTGCAGAACCAGCCCAAGAAATCACAAAGGCCACAGAAAAGCGCGAGCCTGGGTCGTCGTGGAAGGACAAGGAAGAGCATGTCATTCCAAAAAACAAGCTTGGTGTTGTCTTCCTAGGTCTTATGTGTTGCACATTCTTGGCCGCTTTGGACCAAGTACGTACCCCGTAACTGTCACTTTATGATGCTGTGTTGAAATCGCCGTTCAGACGATCGTTGCAACTGCGTTGCCTACGATAGTCGCAGACCTTGGAGGTGGTAATAATTACAGTTGGGTTGGCAGGTACGCAAATCATATCCAGAAGCTAAACTCATCTTATATTTTCCAAAGTGCATATATGTTAGCTTCAGCGGCTTTAGGACCCCTGTATGGCAAGCTCTCCAATATAGTCGGTATGTAGATGCTTACCCTTCATATTTGTAAAGTTGCTAATAAAGATATTCTAGGTCGGAAACCCATGCTTTACGGTTCTATCGTAATATTTCTAGTAAGCTTTCTGACTCAAATAATTTTCGACCTATCTTTACAGTGTCATTTCTGTGAAGATCGGATCTGCACTCTGTGGTGCAGCCCAAAACATGACCTGGTTAATTGTCTGTCGTGCTGTGCAAGGGATTGGCGGTGGCGGAATCATCCAGCTTGTACAGATAACGATCTCAGACATCGTAACTTTACAAGAGTAAGTTTCGAATTTTCATTGCTAAGACAATAACCCTTAGCAGCTACGTCCAGCCGAGGTAAATACGCAGGTGCAATCGGAGCTACCTGGGGAATAGCTAGGTATGTGTAGACTCTTTACCCGCTAATTCCTCATCTGACATTTCTCAGTGTCGTGGGACCTTTGCTCGGTGGAGTATGTTGTTTTGAGCTAGAAGATTTTCCCTCGCTGATCACCGATTGACTTAGGTGTTCGCAGATCATGTAACCTGGCGATGGTATGTGGCTCCTCCTCTATGATAATATGCATATGATTATATCTCTTGTGTTTAGGTGCTTCTTCATCAACTTGTAGGACTGTTTCGCATCATTGTGACCACTTATAATAATATTTTTCGCACTCTTTCAGACCTACCGGAGGCGTAGCTGCTCTTCTCCTTTTCATTTTCCTCAACGTCAATCCCCAAGAAAGTAGAAAGTTCAGCGAACACGTTCGAGAGTTCGATTTCGTTGGATTGGTCACAATCGTTGCTGGTGTCGTTTGTCTTCTAATTGGCTTTAACAATAGCGCAACCAGTTGTGCGTTATAAGCCTAGTTTCAATGGTTATTGCAGCTGCTGACGTTTGTAAAGGGTCGTCAAAGGAAACGATAGCATTACTTACCGTTGGAGTAGTTTTACTAATTGCTGGGGGTGTCAACGAAATATACACGACGCGATCGCCTATCATCCCTCCTCGACTGTTTAAGGTATGATCCAACTTCATAGATCAAAATTACTCGCTGACTTGTTGATACAACTTGACAGACGCGCACAACGGCTACGATTCTAGTAAGTGTATTCTTGCATGCGCTAGCATTTTTCGCGGGTGTGTTGTGTCATCACTATTTCAAATATATCTGGTTTTTTACTTTATTGTCTTACAGCTTCATAGTAAGTTTCCCCCGTCTGACACCCAAGGTTTGAATGCTGATGATTTACAGCTATCTACCGATGTACTACCAAGGTAAGGCAATCCTTTTAGACCCCTTATAACCTGAGCTAAAAGACTGTTGGCTGTTTCAGTACTTGGTGCTTCAGCTACAAGTTCAGGCATAAGGTGATAACTCTGAACGTCGGCGGCGATCAGCTGCAGCTGACTTCAATACCCACAGAATGTTACCTTTTTCTCTGGGTGGCGCAGCAATGTCAGCAATTTCAGGAATGATCATCTCACGTACAGGATCCTACCGTCCTATCATGTGGTTTGGTTGGGTGGTCATGACACTTGGTTGGGGCCTCATGATCCAATTAGATAACACTTCTAACAGGTACCTTGATATGATATCGTGTTCATGTCATTCAGCTGAATTATTTTTTCAGCGCCGTAAAGGAAGTGTATCCGTTCATTGCTGCTATTGGTATTGGTTCTCTCTTCCAGGTGAGTGGAGCACGGTTTTGTTGCTTCTTTTCGTTGTCCCATGACTTTTTGTGGGAACGATTTTGGCGTCTATCTATTCTACTACCATGATTATGAAGTGCTCACATGTTAACGATTAGTCGCCACTGATCGGCGTTCAAGCGGCGATGCCCATCAAGGACATGGCTACTAGTACAGGAACCTTCATGTTCCTTCGGTTCGTAAATAACCAGTATATCACTCAGCAGACCATCTGACTTGATCTTACAGAACCCTAGGTGGCACAGTTGGCATTACAATCGGAGAAGCCATCATCGCAAGTGTAGGTGCTACCGCTTTTACCATATATTCCCATTATGCTCATATTCTTAATGATTTACAGAGTCTTCAAAAGAGGGTTAGAGATATCCCCGGTCTTACTATCGATACGTCCGCTGCCGCTTTGAACGATAGCGTGAGAAAACTGTCCCAGATAGCTGTAAGTTAAACCCGTGATCTTTGAATGTTGGCCATATTTATTCCGTTTTTCAGAATATCACGCAACGAAATGAACTCATGCATGCATACGCCCGCTCCATCAGTACTATTTGGCTTGTGAATACGCCTCTATCAGCAGCAGGGCTTATAATGGTGCTGTTCATCCGTGGTTATTCGCTGAAACGCGCTGTTGTCCGGGGTGGTGACGCAAAAGGAGCTGATGTGGAGAAGGGGGCGACGGCTGAAGAATCTCCAGAGAACCAAGAAACGTCAGAAGACTCGTCAGAAAAACTAGAGAAGGATGAGGCCTTGGTAGAAGATGAGGCACGTATTCATGAAGAGCGGGTCGTACGCGATGACGCTACGGAACGCACGCGGACAAGTTCCATCGCAATAGACAAGGCGGAGAAGATTGAGGTATGATGTTAATGTATCTGGTGTTGGTGGAGGACGAAAAGTCCTGTATCCGAAGGTGTAGGCTTGGTGCGTTTTTTGAATCTTGGTGCTTAGCACACGAGGGTCGGTTGTGTGCATGTGGGTTAGGTGCATAGAACTCAGATCTCAGACATAGACGGCATAATCATACATAATGTTTATCACGTTCACGCGTGCTCCTGCATGTATTAGGTAGTAGTCGATCAATTCGCATAGTGTTTATTGAAGATACCCATCAAACACAGTGCGGGAATGAGTGGGCTAGCTAGATAGTCGGTAACATATCCAGAGGCGTGATAACTCACATTCACCACACAGACAAGGAATTTACGCATATCGCAGTCGCGTCGTTGCAGGGTACATCATTCACATAACATAGTAAATATAGTTCAAGGACAGTAAAAAGAATCAGGTACTACGATGATCACATTGCAAGTGACTGGGGAACACTAGAATATTCGCCCGCCTCGCGCTCGCTAAGAGTATAGCTCTCTGGTTGTCTGCGTAGCACCCATTCCTGCCATGATTGATAGTCAGATGCTGTTAACATATGTGAGACAGAAGACGACCCACTTCCCACCATCCCCTGTTTCCACCCCATGATAATGATGTATTGAGTCCCGCTTTAACCATGCGGTTCCTAACTCCTACTCCGAGCAACAATCCAATGATTGTCAAGAGGAAGAGGGTAACGACTAGCTGATCTCGAGGCGAGTCCCGTTCTTTGTGAAGTGTTGCAACCATGAGCGTCATAGACACGAGTATAGACAAACGAAAACATACGGAAACACCTCGCCTCTACATCACCCTCTTTCCCTGTCGCTGTGTCGGGATTTGTGTCACCAAGTGACGCGCCTGCACAGATTGATAGGTTTTGATTTAGACACCATTGCTTGTTGCATGTTAGACAGGGTTTGGAAGGATCGTCGGGCTTATCCAAGAGCAAGATGGTATAGTTTGATTGAAAACATATACCTGAATACGTCAATATAAGTAACACACAAGGAGAAGCATACCTACATTTACAAAAATCCGTAGCTTCCCATTTGGTCAGGATGCCGCAGACGGGACCCTAGAACGAGATTTGGTCTTGTCTTTGGAGAATGAACTAAACTTAGGGTTGCTCACAATCCATACGAGAACTAACAAGAGAAGACTGCAGAACCTGCGCGAATAAGTGGAAGTCATGGTGTGACGACGGCGCTGGTAACTTGAAGATGTGCCTGTGGCTGGGATACATTGGCGGGTGCATCGGCATCGGTTGCTTATAATGGCCATCATGATCTCGACATCTCGACATCTGATCGTAGGAATGGATTATTGCACAGCATAAATTAGCACCTGCGGGGTCCACCCAAAACCCTCAAATCATTCGTCCAGTCGGTTCACGCCTTTCAATTCAGGTCCGAGAAAGATATTACTGTGGCCAAGGCCAAGAACATTCGCCATTTCGATTTAAGTGTCCCAAATACTAATAAGCTAGATGACATCCTGCAATACTACCCACAATTAAGTATGATATCTCGTGAACTTGTGATGATCTTAATCTCAGAAACTCCATATCTCAACACCAGGTTGAATCGTTACGAATATCCAGAATATGGGTCCAACAATCTGAGATGCTCAAGTCAGCAATAGCATTATTGCGACAGACTCGATAACTTACCGGTATCTTAAAACATCAAAGGAGAGTTTAGAGAGCACCTGCCTCCGTGAGACGCCACTGAGCATCTGGACCGTAGTCGCACGTCGTGGTGGTACCATTAGAATGCTCATTAGGAAGGGCCTGGCAAGTCCAGTCAGTCGGGCAGCTGTAGGTGAGGTAACGGCTCTGGTAGCAGTGAGCGAACTGGCCCTGCACGCAAGCAACGTCTCCGTCGTTGCAACTGGAGCTCGTAGTGAGCGTAGCATACTGCTGGTTCAACACCTTAGCAGCTGGGCCATTGGCCTTGAGCTGTGCGATGTCGCGACTGGGGGAAAATTGTCAGACGATGATGCCAGAGATGGTCAACGAAATACATACGTTTGCAAGGTCTCGACGGCACGTTTAGAAATGCCAGCCTGCTGATTGCGCCAGTTGATGTCGCTGATGGAATCGCAGGTGGTGCTGGTTCCTACGGACCATTCGTTAGGGATGGCAGCGCATGCCCAGTTGTCGGGACAGCTGTAGGTGAGGTAGCGACCTTGGTAGCAGTGACCGAATTGGCCTTGAATACAGGCATCCTGTCCCTCGGTGCAAGGGGAGTCTGCAGTGAGGGAAGCATACTGGTTGTTCAACGCCTCGGCAGCGGGGCCATTTTGTTGCAAGTACGATTGGCGCTTGGAGTAGGTGGATGCCGCAGAGGCAAAGAGGGTGGAGTAGACGGCGAGGAAAACGAAGGAGAGGGAGCGCATTGTGATTTGGTTCAAGAGTATGCGATGGATAAATGATAGATAGATACTGGCGGCACGATTAATCGATGAAGATTAGGATTTGGAACGAATTGACGATTGTTCAGACAGGGTGATGAGCAAACCAGGCTGGGGAAACATGGCTGTCGGTGTATTGTTTAAATAGGTCGTCGCTTCACCATTAGCTTCGAGAGCGATGACGGTATACTATAGTAGCACGCTTACCCATCATTTGAACGAGCAGAACAGCATCATTGATGGCATACTACCGATTTGATCAAAGTTTCGTCCAACGGGTCAGATCTGCACGTGCATGAAATACAGTGCCCTTGGCATGATTCTTGCGTTGATACCAATAATGAGATATCAGCGTCAAGGCCATTGCGATCAATGAGTCTGAGATCTCTCACCTCACGATTATATACTGTTCGGTCAACTAGGTGAGGACTAGCACAGAATCAATTACAGAGTTAATTTCGAGAACACATACTCGTGAATACCATACCCCATGCGATGAAACCTTCAGGGTGGTTAGCATCTGAAGGACGCACTGCCTTCGAGTGATCGCTTCCAAGAAGTTTGACATGCTGTGATCCGGAACTCACATCGCAGGTTATGCGTCTTGACAAAACTTCGGTGCCAAGATCTTGAAAGTCATGCATTACAATGTGCATACTTACGTGATATACCTCTGATGGCGGCCAAGATGTCATCGCATCGCTCAGCCACTCGTAGCGCCAGCGGTTTCTGTGGCGACCAAGCTGCCAGTGATATGTCCGACGGGTTATCCAGTGGATTGTTACGCAAGTAGTGGTAGCTCGCACTCCTTCTTTAGTGCTATAGCCCGATTTATGTGCGGCACATTATGAAGCCTGGGCGTAGCGGTTGATCGTAATGTGCATTGTAACCAGTGCAAGTACAGTCAAGGTCAATAGGTTGCAGGTTGGGTTTACAAACACTGTGGGACCTATAATAGGTGTTTTTCACTCTGTGTAGAAGCTGGATTGTAGTTGATGATTCATGTATTTGGAGGTTTGTAAATACTAGCAGTGGTTGATAACCCCTTCAAAAGTGGATGAGGAAATTCGGTGGCTATCCCATGTTTTTTGTCCAAATTCACCCGATATCAGTAGATAATAGGTATTCAGAATAAACTAGACTTGTAACCAGTTGCGTACGTAAGCTCAACTCATTACAACTTAATATAAAAATTCGTGAGCTTGCGAACGGATTGGGAAACGTGAACGTCACATTGGCAGGTCACAGCTATTTATCGTTGTGTGACATGAGACATAGAGAAAATTTGGTGCAAGTGATGCATGGCACAGACTAGGTAGTGGTATTTCACTTGCGTTGATAGTGAGAATGTCTTGTACAACATGCAGAATATATATCATAAGTCACTAATTTACATTTCTGACCTGTCTGACTGTGAATCATCTAATTCTGAGGCCTCTCTAATGTCTGTCCCCTCTTCAGTCTTGCTTTCCTCAAATATGTCTTCCTCACATGCGCAGAGGTCCTCTGCATCCATGTCCAATGAAACATCTTTGGGCCGTTCAAGTGTTAATGTCCCTTCAATTTCATCCTCCCTAGCCGATTTTGCAAACTTGCCCTCTTCTTCAATTTCATCATTGTCAAGGGCTACCACTCCTGCAGTGTGCACATAATTTTCCACCAGCTGACTCGGCTGCAGGTCAGGGACTCTGTCCACAATGGAGATATTACTTGCAGGTGAGGATCCTACAATTGGCTGCAGGCACCGACGAGCCTGAAGCCTTTTGAATGACTTGTTATATTTTTCAATTGGGTTACTGACAGTGTCTGTCAGCCGCTGCAAACATGTGGTAATGACATCTGGAACTGGTAAGTCATTGTTGTCTAGCTGTCAACCGCGCTTGATTGAGTAAACTTCATGATCCTTTAGGCTCGCCATAAGCACCAGAATGTCTCTGGTCAAATCTAATGGTTTGTGAGTTACACCTTGATTAGAGCCAAGGAGTGAGTTCATTGTTTTTGATAAGTGCCAAAGAAATTCAACACAAGGAGCAACCATTTCCAGCTATTCCCATGATGCCAAGCTCCCATGAGCTCTGTAAAAGTTCTATAGTACTATTGCTATTATTTTACCGCTTGTTACATGGTATAGTCACTCACCTTTATCCAATAATTCATATGTTCTTGCATTCAGCTTCAACAAAGCTATGTTGCCTTCCAGTCGGATTTACAAGCCAATTTTTGAGAACAACTTTCCTGTGAATATCTATGAAATTATTTATTTCTTTGTGCGAAGACAGAACTGCACGTACACCACTTTATCGGGCCAGACACAAGACAAGTTGTGTATGAGATGCAACATTTTATATGCATACTTGGTTCGGCCAGTCCCTCGCTAAGAGTAAAAATTTTGAGACATAACACCATGCGCCCAGAATCACCCTCCTTGATAGCATCAGTGAATTCCCTTGATACAACGGCATCACAAAGGAAAAGTACAGCATTTTCAAAAACCATATCCCCTGTGGTTGATATTGAATTTTTGTTGCCAGTCCATTGTCGCTCCTCTTGCAAAGCTGTGACTTGTTTGTGATCTGTATGCTTGTTTATAATAGTTTCTGCATGTTCCTTGAATTTTTCCCATATGATGCCATTTGCGCATTCTTCGAGTGTTGTTTTTGAGCTGACAAGAAGCAAACAATGGAGAACACGAGCATAGAGAGACACAAAAGCTAAATCCCTGCAAGTATGGAAAGGTGGTAAGGAGGTCAACACAATAGGATGGTGATGGAGGTGTGTGTTATGGAACCACAATGATCCTGGATTGCGTGTCCCTGAGTTTGGTTTACCCCAGTGAGTAACTAGGAGGTCATGCATATCGGCCATTTTGGCATGAAATAGCCCTGGCATCCATACCCCCCATCCAAATCCCGCAAAACCTCCTTCATGACCAGCACAAATGTTTGCAAGTGTTTGCAAGCAAGTGATTGATAGTTGATCACCTGCAAATATCTTGAGTTTCTCACTGTGAATAGGATTATTGGCTTGCACTCCGATTTCATCCATAATGGCTTCTACCACCTCACTATTCCCTACAATTGTAGATTCATCAATGTCCATAGCTGATAGTGGGTGAAGAGTGGTTTTGTGCACCTCTATTTTGCAATTGGTTGTCGGCTGAGAGTCTTCAAGCATTTTGTGGAAGTGATCAAAATGGCCGCTGCTGTGATTAACAATAATACGGAGAACACAGTGTGTTAAGCAGTGCCTAAAATGTTTGTTTTCTGCTGATGTGAGAACTATATCTTTGAATGACAAAGGCCGTGCACTATGGAAGGTTTGTTCAAGGTCTGCAAGTTTCATGTCATCGTCTGATGCTTTCCATAATGGCCATACTGTGGCACAAGTGCCATTTTCCTGCGAGTCTAAACATTATCAGTATATGTATAGCGACTACTAGAAAGATACATACCATTTCTCCCAACAATTTGTTCTGCAACGCAAAACATCATGTTTATATTGTCATATACCACTGCAAATAAACCAGAAAATACCACATCATGGGTTGCATCACACATTGAGCTTGACAAGAATCTCAAAGTCCCTGACTTCCATACATGTGCAGGAAAGGTTTTTGCTGATCTGTCACTTGCCAGCTTGGTATGGATAACGTGTGGTTTTTGAATTATATTGGTATAACTTTCAGATATGCTGAGGTGAGAGGCTACTAAAATTGCCTGATGTTGTGCTCCAGTTGCATATAGGTACAAGCCTGAGACTTTCTTGAGGACATTATTATCCTGACTATATTCTGTGAGTGTTATGCACGAAGTGCTTAACAAAGTCTGAGGGTTCGTCAAGGTTTATAAAGAGACTTATCCAAAGACAAGTTTGAGAACATAGTTCTGAGTGGAGGTTTTCCAACGGGAGTTGGTCTTCTTCTGAGTAGAAGTCTGATCTTAGGAGTCTAGCTTTGTAAGCGTAAACTGCGTAGAATTGTATTAGAGAATACTACTGCTGTTACATGGTATTTATAATGGAAAGGAATCGGTGATAGGAGTTAGGTCCTATCTAGGGCAGGTCCGTCCGTTGAGGACTAAGTACTATAATAGGTACTGCAAATGCGAGAGGAACGGAAGTGTACGTAAAGGAAATGAGTCATCGGTCCGATGGTATAACCGATGAGTAAAAAGAAATGAGTAGTCCTTAAATGTCCAATAGAGATTGTAACAGTGAGGCCTTGAATCATAACTGAGGATAAAACCTGTGACCATCAGATAGAAATTAACTTGACTGTAAACTAGAAACTCACCATCTGTTTTTTTGCTGCCCTAGTTAGTGACATCCGTCTGTTTTGTTATAGTGATGTTAGGAATGCCTTGAAAACTCGTGAGGCTATTGGAGCATGTTGACAGAGGTATGAATACATAGTTTTGAGGTTGAAGCCAAGGAAAAAGTTGGCGTTGATAGCCTTCTTATGACTTTGGAGGTGTCCTGATTCAGTGATTTGACGGGCTTCCTTTTTGGCAGTATGGCATATATAATCCAATGCCCAGTCCTGTACTTCTCTTTGGCCGCTCTGACTATTAGCCTTGGAGGCCCAGAAATCCAAGATGGTACGTGCTATCCCTCTGACTCTGAAAAATCCATCCCACCTGTGCATTCTTTGGCCTGCATGTGGATCAAATACATAAACCATCAGGTCCCCAAATATGAGACCAGCCTGTGTCAATCTGTTTAAGATTTTGTCAAATATGCCTGTGTGGCTGGCCTGAAGGGCTGCTTGTGTGTGCAGGTCCTTGTCAGCCGCTTGAGCCTTGAGTGCACTCAAAGTCACAGCACATTTCCATTGACTTTTTTTCCACAAGGTGGCAAGCTGTTCAGCCTTGGAGCCAATGACAGGACTGCTATAGATGGGGCCACCACTTGAGATGCTCGGAAAAGAGTTAGACCAGGCACGAGTAGACAAATTGGGTGTGATAAAGTGATGAAGAGAGGTAATCTTTGTGAGTGTAACAAGTGAATGGCCATGTACTGGATGCATTCCAATTGAGTCACTTGGCGATGATGGCGGCAGAGACAGGAGTTAAATAGGGGATATGTGGAGCTCAGAACCACTCCCCGCCAGAGATGTTAATGGGGAGGAGAGCTCACTACAAAGACAGCCAGGTGTCTGCATTATGCTTTCAAAAATCCAGCATAACAGTAACAGCTGCAGTTGCATGCTAGCTATGCAAAGAATGAGGGTGGAGTCATCTGGCTTTGTCACGTGGCTACAAGTTGTGCTACACAAGCAGGGCGCAAGCAAATGCTTTAACAGCACAGTCTTCAAAGAAAAAAACAATGTGTTACAATACACAATTCTTTCCTTTGTTCCACTTTTCCCGCGCTGCACTGCTTTTCTTTATTTATAGCTACAAATATCTCATGCAGTAGAGCTGGTCACATGGGCTGTGCCCCATGACATTATCAGCCACTGCTTCCATCAACTGTATAGTACACATGTACAAATGATCTGTAGTAATATAAATACCCAATAGATCCAGGAAAACTCCTCAGCAAGTCCTCCTGTTGTTTACCCATAACTAACTCAGTCCTATCCTAAGGGTAACCACTCCCCTCACTACCTTTACAGCTTTGTCTGAGTTGTGCGCCAGAGTATACAAACTCTTGGTTGTTACAATGTGGCCACAATACTAAGGACACATCCAGAAGATGCGCTATACCAGACCACCAGGTTAAAGGAGGAAGATATGGATAACTTGTCCAAACTAATGAAACAACAGTTTGGATGGCACAATGGACCCCACAAGTTCCAGGTGGAAGGCACAAAAGCACAGTTGCAGGGAAAAGATGTACTTGTACACGCTGGGACAGGAGCTGGAAAGACTGCTATAGCTGTTACAATAACACAATTTTCAAACCTTCAAATTTCATTCTCCTCTTTAACTTTCTTCTATAGTTTTCACACACTGTGCCATGCGGCACTTTCCTTTGTTCAAACTCCCCTTTTCTCGCGCTGCGCTGCTTTTCTTTATTTATAGCTACAAATCTCTCACGTAGTGGAGCTGGCCACACGGGCTGTGCCCCATGACATCATCAGCCACTGCCTCCATCAACTGTATAGTACACATGTACAAATAACCTGTAGTAATATAAATACCCAATAGATCCAGGAGACTCCTCAGCAAGTCCTCCTGTTGTATACCCACAACTAACTTGGTCCTACCTAAGGGGTAACCACTCCCTCATCACTACCTTTATAGCTTGTCTGAGTTGTGCGCCAGAGTAACTAACTCTTGGTTGTTACAATAGCTGCAGGTCCACATGTCCATCCCAGTAGCAAAGGCAAAGTGACATTGATGGTTTCACCATTGCTTGCCCTCCATGATGAACAGGTTAGTGCAATAACAGATAATATGACAAAACACTCACCCTGAAAACAGGTTCAGACCTTCCAGAATGAATTCAAACTTGATACTGTGGCTGTTAACAGCAGTCATGGTGGTTGTAGACAGGAAATACTTGATGTGAGTTAGCTGGTCCATAAATCCCCAAAATGCACTGAAGATGAGGTTAGAAAATTATAAAAGGAGATTGGCAAATAGTTCTGATCTCACCGGAGATGCTACTTGCACGTCACTTTGTCAGGGTGGTGTTACAGAGCAACGAGTTTGGAAGGAGAGTGATGTTGGTGGTGGTTGACAAAACTCATGTAGTATCACATTGGGGTTCAAGCTTTTGGAAGAAGTACGGTGGCCTTGGGGCCATCTGCTCATTCCTACCTCAAGAAACACCTATTGTCACAATATCTGCAACCCTCCCAGCGTAAATATGCCATGATGTCCTAGAAAAGCTTGAATTCAACCAGCAGAATTTTGTCAATATAGACATAGAAAACAACCGTGAAAATGTCTCACTGGTTGTGCGAGAAATCCAAAATCCTCTGAAGACCTACACAGACCTCAACTTCATTATACTGACAGGAATTATGCAACTACAAGACACCAAAAAAACATTTGTGTATGCTGACAACATTGCTGTTGGTACCGAAATCATAGACCACCTAATTGAGTGCCTGCCAACTGAGCATCGGCATTCAGGAATAATTTGGCTACACAATGCTGCACAAGGGAAGGCCTACCAAAAGGAAGTAATAGAAATGTTTTGCAGGGGAAAAGTCCAAATCCTAGTGTGTACAGATGCTGCTGGAATGGTATGTATGCACAACTCTTTGTTAGCTCACTCTAAAGCTTTTTTCAGGGATGCAACATACCATATATTGATATGGTTGTGCAGTGGAAACTGACAGCTTTGCTGTCAATGTTTGTCCAGAGAGCAGGGTGAGCAGCTTGTGGAAAACAATGCACAGGATTGGCTGTGTTGCTTGTTGAGCCAAGCTGCTATGAAGTAGATCTCTCAAAGACTCAAAAAAATGTGGAAGAGGAGCAAACATCAGTGAAGGGAAAACAGAAGAAGAAAACTGGTAAGGTCCATGCACAAAGTCAAGGCAGTAAGCAAGGGGCACACGGAGACCTGCATGATTTCATTTTGGTGAAAGATGAACCAGTCCTGGACTATGCCACAAAAGATGAAGGTTTGCTTGCCTTCATACAGACTGGCTTGTGCCGCCGTGCAGTCTTGACCAAGGTATATGGGAATAAAACAAATGGTTAGTCCTCATTGTGGTAAATGAATAAATCTGACATACCACAGTTGTGACAGTTCCTTGTTGCAACATCTGTGATGTTTCCCTCCTGAATGAAATTCGGCCAGGAATTATATCTATGCAGAAAAGACAGTCAGCTGCAAAGAAGGGGGAAATTTGCGAATTTGTTTGTGAAAACTTACAGCTATGGCAAAAATCAGTGCATAAGCGCGACTTTACAAGAGCAATGTTTGCTTCGCTGGCCATTTTGCAAGATGACACAATAAATTTCCTGGCCATGGTGGGACCTATAAAATCAGCTGAGGAACTCCATATGCTAGTAGGAGGACAATAGCTGTGGTGGTCTGACTATGGAAGTGAATTGGCCGCATTGATGTTGACTCTTGATGTCCCGCCCTTCAGACCATTACCAAAGAAAATGCAAGGCAAGAAGAGAAAGGAAAGAGGTGACAACAAGGCTGCTGTGAATGCAGTGGGGTCAGAGCAACAGAGTAGATGACAAGCATTCACAAAGGTCACCGGTTCTGGGATTCCCATTGTTACAGAACCAGTTTTGCCTTCTTTGGATGTACAAGTGATCACCAACTGTGGAAATGAACACAATGCCAGTGTGGTGGTCAGATCAATGCAGACTACTCATTTTGTCCCTTGAGTCCCATATACAACAATATTGGTGCCCCCATTTGCATATCTTGCCAGTCTTTGGTCACCTTATACTCAGATTGTAAACCCTTTCCTCGTACCTTCACCTTCTCAATCAACTACAAACACTAACACATATACTACTAAATAATTCTCATTTTGTTGTACATATATACTTTTACATGAATAGTTAGTTATAGTAAACTTGAAGCTTGAGGTGCAACAACCAAGAGTTAGTTACTCTGGCGCACACAGAAACACACTATAAGGAAGATGTTGAGGGAGTGGTTACCCCTTAGGCTGCAGAGAGTTTGTTGGTTAACAACAGGAGGACTTGCTGAGGAGTCTCCTGGATCTATTGAGGTATATATACTACTACAGGGTCGTTTGTACATGTGTACTATACAGTTGATAGAGACAGTGGCTGATGATGTCATGGGGCCTAGCCCGCATGGCCAGCTCCACTGTGTGAGAGAGTTGTGTCTAAAATAAGAAGAAAGGCAACGCGGCACGAGAAAGAGGAGTTTTGGATAAAAAGGGGAAGTGCCACGCGGCGCCATGTGTGAAGGCTAAAGTACAAGGTTGAAGCGGAGAATGAAAATAAAGGGAAGGTCCAAAAATTGTGTTATCGTAACATGAGGCCTTGAGGCCTGAGGACTTGTGTGGTATAACATGTCGAGTCCATCATTCACTGGTCAGAATTTGACTAAATCTTTTCTTTCATTTGGTGGAGTGTCACGCTTCTTGCCAAAAAGAGGCTGGAGTGTACCAGCCCTTTCACAAAACAACTCTGCGGAGTATGAATGTGAATTGGCTGGGTTTGAGCCTAAGAATAAACCTGCTATTTTTTGCAGGCGCCTGCCCAGAGCCAATGTGACTTGCTGACTCAAACTGCCGCTGAAAAGAAGTGCTCACTTGTTCACTTTTTATTTTTATTTCTAATTTTTGTGCAGAAACTCCACCCAAAACCTGAGTAGGTCATAGGGTCCAGGGACCTCGTGCTATTCTTTCTCTCTTCGACTTCAGCAAATCATGCCTCGTTGTAAAGTTCAGCCTGCCGTCAACAATGGCGATATCAACAATGCATCTAATGAGGACTCCATTGGAGATATAATCTCCGAGACAGTAGCTCAGGCCTCCCCACAAGGATCACATGGACCTCATCACGTACTGATCAATTGCTAGACTGGCTGGATCAAAATGCTCAAGAACGACACTTCATTTTCTCAGATTCCAAAGAGGATGCAGATAAAGAGGGTCGGCAAAAGGCTCAGTCAAAGACGAAGAAGATTTTATGTTATGGTGCCATTACAGCATTTGTTTTCAATGAAAACGAGAACCCAGCTGTTAGGGTTGACTTCAAAGCTGATCCCAACAAGTATGCAAAAGCTGTTGACAATCATCTCACTGTGTAAGTGGAATCTACTACTACTACTACTACTACTCCTCATTCTCCCCCTCTTCACTACATACTAACACTTCAATAGGCTGAAGAAAAAGTACTGTAAGTTTGTCAAATAATTAGGTCAAACGGGAGCTGGTCTTACATTTGTGCAATTAGAAGGGAACCCTGTGTATGGGGGACCAATTGGTGTGTTTTTGCATTAGTTAACCTCCCCCCCATTTTCCGGTCCTGATGTCTCACAATCTTTCTGACCAATGTCATTGTTTACAACAGGGCTTATAAAGAAAAAATTCAAGATATTTGACCGTCTATATGGCTTCTGGATGAAAATTTCCAGCTACAACCCATTCACCACTTTTTCTGACCCAGGCCAAGACCTTGCAGGCAACACATACAATCTCCTGTTTCTGAGAAAGAGGAAGTCACACCAAAGCCGTGCTGAGCAGCAGTCCGGCATTCAAGAAGACCGCCCTGCTGGCAGGGCTCATCAGTCCATGGTGCCCGATTGCTCACAAACTTTCAATCTTAATATGAGTATTTTCTGGATTTTCCATGTGGCTGTACTAATACTTTTACAGGAGTATGCTGAAGAGTAGCCCTGGATAAAGGAACCCCCTGTAGCTGTGAGAAAAAAGTGGACTCAGCCACTGCCAAACTGGGCTCCATTGTCGTCAAACGAGCTTTCATGGGGCCAACAAGGATCAAATTCGCCGCAGCAACAGAACACGCATAGGAACTCCTTCTCTATTGAATCACTGCTGTTGCCCGTATCTGGTGCATCTGGTGATCAAGACACTCTCCCTCATCCTTTCTCCCTGTCTACTTTTGCTTCATTGGCTCCATCTCTCAAAATGGAGCAAGCAGTTGATTTAAGCATTATAATTTAAAGCAAAAATTATATCTTATACTTAAGACTAACTAAAAGCTCATTAGACTTTTTAACTAATATGTATAAGTTATATGCTAAACAAAATTTTACTAAGAATATGGTTACAAATTTGAAATTATTAGAGGATATTTATTTGATAAAGAAGCTATTTGGATTCTGAATAGTGAAATAAAGAAGTTTAGAACAAAATAATTTGTGGGAAATCTTTAGAGAATATCTATATTATAAAAATAAATATATCTAACACTTAAGTTTGTTATTATTTATTTTATTATCAATTATATGAAATAATAAGAATATTATTTCTAATACTAAACCTAATAACTATAAAAAAATATAACCTAGTGAATCAAACAGGAGACAATTGTTTTTGAAATGAATGTGGCGTTAAACTCCCTTTTTAGTGGCACTTATCATGGCTCGCTTTTGTCTCTTTTCCAGGGAAATCACTCATTCTCCTCTCTATGACCGCTAGTTTTGGAGATATGAGCCAAACAAGAATGCTTGTATCACGCTTACTGTCAGCCACTGGCAGCCACACTGAAATCTGACCACATGGCTTGCACATGGTCAGTTTCTGAAAAGGAAAAGTGAATTTCCCATGACATAATCTGCTTTTTTCTCAACAACCACTTCACCAATTACTCCGGTTTTTGACGCCCCTATCAGTCTGGATACTTTTGGAGGGCTTCCAAATAAGGAAATTCTCCAAAATTCTTGTTTTACTGTGGAGAAGGTTGAATTGGCATTTGTTTCTTATAAATAGAACACTATGCCTGGCTGAGTCATATTTTGCCCCACATTTTCAAATTACTTTTCTATTCTTAGTCTCAAAAAGACCACTCTAGAATCATTAGTCTCTCAACAAGCGAGGACTATCATTGTCACACCTAGTGTTGGCTATATCTTAAAGCTAGTCATATAACACTTCAAGCTCACATATACCCTCACACTTCTATTCATATACTACCACTTGTCCTTTATATCATCAAGGACATATCTACCATTGTCATATTAGTCTTCCAGAGTATGAGGACTATTGACATACTCACAATACAAGGGATAACTAACTTCCAACCCATAAACAAACTAGGTTATTAGCCGTTGTCCAGCTTAGGTTGTAAACTTCCAGTAACCCTAGGATAAAGAAGCTTTGGTAGCTATCCCATATCAAACACTTTATCAACACAACAGCACCTAGTTGTGGTGGTTCTCTGGCACCTAGCATTCGTGGTGGTTGTTGTGCTGTGAGTATCTCTGTCAGGGATACATTACGCGCACAGTTAGCAGCATCAGGGAAAGGGCTGGTGCAAGAACAGAAGATTACCAATGATAGGAGGGCTTTTCAGACCAACAACAATAAATGTGGCAAGGGAAAGGATAAATATGATAAGAAGTTTGATGAAAAACCTTGTAAACCCCAACATTCTCACCTTGAAGATAGCATAATGGTTGTGCAGAAGATGATGGAACCTGTTGCATAGGCATTGGAAAAAAAGAACAAGACTGTGAAGGACAAGATAGCAACCAGATCAGCATCCAAGTCCGATGATGTTGCACTCAGGAATGCCCAATATCAAGCTATGATTGAAAAGGTCTGCTATAAGAAAGTGGAAAAGGAGCAGGCAATGATTGTTCTGAAGCACAAGCACTATAAGGAGAAGTTCAATTTGCATACCGAGGCTGAAACTGTTTGCCGGCGTGAAGATCAGCCGCACCAGAAGGATATGCTCCAGATGATGCTTAATCTTATTCAGGCAGTTAAGGATGTTCCTGGTGTCGACAACAAAGTCATCTCCACTCTCCTTGCTAATATATTGACTGCTGGCCCTGCCAATCACTTAGCTTTATCTATGCCATCCATTCCTGCATCCCCAACCACATTGGCATCTGCAACGCTATTTGACACCAATCTTCCTCAAGGATCGCTGGTGGAGATGATGATGAGGACTTGTCCTTCAATTATAACAATGTGTAGCTTTGATGAGTCGTTTTGAATAGCTGTAGTTGAACATGTTTTATACTCGAGAATATATGCTTTCATGCTGTGTTGCTTGACTATCCAAGTCTGTGTGCTTAAGTGTCTCGAGCATCGTAATGCGTTTCAGAATTAAAAAATGTGAATATATTGCATCATAAGAAACAGCCTATTTATTTAACTACATGTACAAGTGGCTACTAAACAAAGCAAGCATTAAACAATGGCGGAAAACTTGGCCCTTAAGAATGTTGTCATGCACCAAAGTTGATTGGTAGCATGGACAGGTGTCAATAACGAAGTGAATATTCAAAAAGACTCGCCTTTGCGCCACACAGGCACAGTGCCACGTGGAATAGTAATTAATATTGCCTTTTTTGAACTTGTGGCTGATCAGCACCACCTCTATTAGGCAATCCAGTCAAGCTCACCTTTGCTTTTCCATTCGGTACTTTCCGCATTTCGGCATTTCGGCAAATTTTCGCGTCGCCACTGGCTACACATTGCATTGCGCCCTCGCTTTTGTTGTTTCCCTTACTCCCCTTCCTTTGCCTAGCCCCACCATGGGCCCCTTCCTCTCCTTTTTATTCTCACCTGATGGTCGTTTCTGGATCCCCATTCTAATCCACTTTTTTGTCACCTCCACCCTCCTTCTCCTCATCTTATTTGCACCCCCACCATTTCTGATGTCACCACTTCCTATCCGCTTCCGTTGCCGATCCATCAACTACCACGTGCCACTGCTGATATCAGCAAAGCCCCGGCAGCCGGTTCAAATAGGGCAACAGGTCCATCTTTATGACGTCGATCTACCATCATATACTATCAAAACATCGGTCGCTCGTCTTGCCTGGTTGGAGCGTGGGTGGGTAGTTTTTGAGCTGGAGAAGGTTCATCCCCTTGCGTCACCCATGTTCATCGCTGTCCCATTCACTTGGGTACATTTATCTTTTGTCCATTGTCTTTGCTACAGCTACACCTACCACACGCTGCCTGGGACTCACTTGTTCCAAATTGGAACTACTCCTCTCCCTCCCTCGTTTGATCAGGTGGTCCAACGCAACCAGTCCATTGGTAAGGCCATGGAACTGTCGGATTTGGACTAGGTGGTGGACCAATGGCTCCAGTTTCTTTTTTTTCAGCAGAACATTCATTTACAGTGCGATTATTTTTGATTTTTGAATCATTTTTATGGACACATATTTTTTTAGAATGTCTGACTGACAATTAAGGAACTGTGTTGATACTGATAGTGTTTTGCCTTGCCCTTTTTTTACTGTATCTTCCCATGATTTTCCTGCTCTCTTTTTGCTATTGGACTTTACTTTATGGCCGTACAAACCTGTGACATTATTCACAGCATTCATTGTTCTATCCCTTTCTTTTCCTTTTTTTGACAATCTTATCCTGTACTACCTACGCAGGATTCATCAGCGTACATTCCTTCCTTCAAGTTCTTTCTCATTCTTTTTGCACAGCTATACTGTGCATAGCCTACTTTTCTTTTACTATATTAACCCCTGTATTTTACCTTGTAAAAGAACAAGAATCCAATCCAGACTTCTTCTCTACTCTCAAGTTCACTACTCTGCTACTTGTGATCCAGTGTGGTCACAACACTTCCCACTTTTGAAGTCATTGTCATCCCTTTCAATTAGAGTCCTTCTGAGCACTACAGTTTGTGCGTCAGGAGCCTGCTATCACTGGGAACCTCGTTATCTTGTCATTCTCAAACCTACCTTGTGCTACGATTAGCAAGGTAGTGCTCATCTATACTCGTCACTAAGCCCCTATCTTCTATAAATTCAACTATCCCTCCTCCTCAAAACCCACACTTATACATCTCTGGGTTTTACTTTGAGGGATCCTTATATGTACCACCCCACGAACAACCAGACCACTCCACTGTTCTAGGAGGCAAAGCCCATAGACAAGTTCCGTGAAATCTGGGAGGATTGTGTGTTAGTTTGTTTTTGTGTGTGGTTTTCTAACAGCAGTTCTCATCATCGACAACATTTAGATTGAGCAGGTCATGAGCGTTGGGTAAGTCAAGCACCCCATTAGAAAATCTATTGTCAAACGGTCTCTTGTTCACATCCTCCTCCTCATTTTCATCATCTCTGTTGTGGTCGTCACTCCCATTGTTCACGTTGAAGGACCACCATGCCTCACGGGTATTATTGCCTTTGATTTGGATGATGAGGTTGTGAAGAATGATGCATGAACAGATCCATGTAATTGCCCATTTGTGACGATCACACAAGCTGATTTGTACGTGCAGCTCAAAAAAGACTGAAAGCGACCCTTTAATAAGCTAATAGCATGTTCAGAGTGGATACAGATACGTGAAAGGTAGTAGTTGAATTAACACTCGCTTTGGGTAAGATTTCTGTTGGTCAGCCATTTGAAAGGCCATACGCACCATGAGTGTACAGGATATGCAGAATCTGCCCACATCCACTCACCATCTTCAAGAAACATTGTTTTATCACGGGTAATTTGTGTACTCTCAAAGACGTACAAGTCATGGACACTACCAGTGTGTCTCAAAGAGTAGTCAATGACACAGAGATTATAAAGGAGAACCACCAGCTGTGTATTTAAGGAATAGTTTGAAGACCGGTTGAACCATACCTCCAAAATGACTTGGTTTTTGGAAGAGAAGGAGAGCTGTTATGATAACACAATTTTCGGACCTTTCCTTCATTTTCATTTTCCGCTTTAACCTT